TCTTTCCCTTGATGCATGGAATGAAACTTGTAACTGTCACTTTTTCATATGCATGGAAAGACTCAACTCATCTTATAATCCGAGTGTTTGCTCAGTGGTGCTAATTTGTGTTATACTTTCTTGTAGGTCCAGCTGAAGCACTTGGACGGTCACATTGAAGAGGTATGGCATTGATATATAGCTCGTTATAGAAATCTATCTTTTATACTATATTGCAGCTTCAAGTTGTGTTCATATTCTGACTAAAGCAGGTTCCTTATTTCTGTCTGCCAGCCAACGATTTAGTCGATGTCATAGCTCCATCATGTTATAGGTAATGCAAATAACGCAGTTTCCAGTGGTTAAATTGCTAGAAATTTGACGATAGAAAATCAGACACCATTCTTATCTGTTTAAATATGTATACCGGTCTTTGTTTCTGCTTTGACAGTCTTGTTGTTTGATTTTTACATGTGCCTTTTCTTCTCACAATTGCCTTTGTTTTCTCTTCCCCAGCTGCTTTGACTACACAAATGCTTTAGCAGTGAGTGTTAAGCCTAACAGTCTCTCCATTTGATCCCGAAACCTCTATTCTAATCGTTAATACCTTCTATTCGAAATCCAGGATTTGGTTGTCGGCTATATGGGTGTTCCAAAGTATACTGGATTAAATATGACACAGCATCCACAATACATCACAGTGAGGTTCACATTTCTATTTCACCTGTCTATTTTAACATGATAATCTGCTATTCAGGAAGGGCCCATTTCCTTTCTTTTTCCTGTTTGTGGTGATACAGTTACAGCATAAAATCACGAAGTGGACTAAATTAATTTCCTTATACTTGAAACTCTGCAGAAATGAACGCGGGAAAGAAATGCTCAGCTTAGTAGAAAATCTTTTGGAGATCACTCCATCAATTAGCAGTGTAAAACCTTTTTACCTTTATATCTGTTATTACCGTTAAGTGAGTCATATTGACAAGAACTAAAAAATACTCAATCTTTGCACCTGTGTTTCAGGGAGATCGGCGGCCATTTGTGATGGAGACTGTCAAGGCAGACGATAACGCTAAGTTGGGTAAGTGTCGGCCTCAGTAAAATGTTTATTTACCAACTTGTTTCTACTCTACCCTTTCCCTATTCCAGCTTTGCAGGTTGTATGCTTAGTATTGTACAACCAATGGCTATGGAGGATGCTAAAATTTCCTAGTCTCCCATTTGTCTATATTGTTCAGGTCGAGGTCCTTCTCAGCCGGCGCCGATGTTTGTTGGAAACATTATTGCTTTCATCTTAAACTTGGTAAAGATTAAGATTACTCCTGATGAACTATGACTGGGAAGCAAGCAACTTCATTCAGAACTCATACTCGTCTGTTTCGTTGTTTCAGATTGGTCCTAAAGGCCTTGAATTTGCTCGGTATTCGTTGGATTACCACACCATCAGAAACTATTTGCATGTGAACCGCAAATGGGGAAAGCAAAGGTAAACTAAAAGGACATGCATAAACTTGCAGAGAAGCTCACATCTTTAATGCAGTCTGTAACTCTCATTTATCAGTTTGAACTCTCATTTATCAAAGCTTTCTCGTATGCAGAGCCAGCAAGCACATGCCTTCGTACTCCAAGAAGATTTTGGATATGTACAACAAAAATGGTCAAATAGACCAAATGCTTTCCCAGAAGTAGAACAAATGTATGTTCACTCTTATAGCAAATATATCGGTCTTAGTTCTATTCTCGAACTGTTTGTCTTAAATGAAATAAGCATTCTGATGAATTCGTCATCTCCTTTTAAGTGTCTTCCTCACTCTTCCTCGGTTATATATCTCCATGATTGCATGGTTTTATTAAGACATCAGTAAGGGGTGGATCGGTTTCTTGTTTTGGCAGAGAATACAAATCCAGTTCACATTGTTTTTTTTTCTGGGGGATTTTTTCTTACATTGGATCAGTAACTGTAAGGGAATGATAAAACCAGACATTGACGGCGGGGGGGGGGGGG